TACCGGAGGGGGACCAGGAGCAAGGAAAAGCGGCGGGGGAGGGAGGGGGGCAGTGCGGTAGGGGAAGAGACGGTAAAAAGGGACCGACTCGTCAAAGGTGACGTCCTGAGAGGCGAAGACCCGGCGCGAGGTGGGGTGGTAAAACTGCCAGCCCGGCGCGTCAGGGACAAAGCCAAGGAAGACACAGGGAAGCGTGCGGGAGGAGAGCTTGTCCGCGGACGTATCGCGGACAAGGGCACGAGCACCCCACACCCGGAAGCGCGACGCATCGCCAACCTCCCCCGTCCAACGCAGTGTGGGCGAGGTCTCCGGCAAGGAGACACGGGGCCAGAGGTTGAGCTGATGCGCGGCATACCGGACAGCAAACGGCCACAGAAAATGGGGAGCCGCCGCGTGGACCAAGGAGGTACGAGCGACCTCCATGACCAGGCCAATGCGGCGCTCAGCAACCCCATTCTGCTGTGGGGAGTCCGGAAGCGTGAAGGTCTGCTCGATGCCCTCCGCCTGACAGAAGGTCCTCAAGAGATCGGAGGAAAACTCACCACCTCTGTCAGAGTGCAGACGCAGGACAGGAAGATCCGTCCGGAAACGGCGGCGGAGCTGGAGACGAACTGTGCGGATCCAAGGGATCAGAACAGCAGGGACCTCACCCTTGGTGCGCAAGGGGAAGACCGTGGTGTAACGCGAGTAGTCGTCGACAACCAGCAAAAAGTACCGCTCACCGCCCTGGCCACGAACGCGGGCTGGGCCCCACACGTCCAGGTGGAGGGTCTGCAGAGGAGCCTCTGTCGGGGGGAACGAGGAGGAGTGAGGAGCTGCGCGCTGCCGCCCCTCGACGCAAGGAAGGCAAGGCGGCGCAGGCGAGGCAGGGAGGGGAGGGAGGGACCTGGGAAGACCAGACACAAGGCAGCGACGGTGCATGCCACGGAGGCGTGGCAAGGTAGGTGACCCAGGCGGTGGTGCCAGAGAAGAGTCTGGTGCGACAGGGAACGACACTCACAGGCGTGGGCCACCAGACCTGACGCGGACACCTGACCGACAGCAGCGACCTGGGGAGACGCAGTGGTCAGTGTGTAGAGACTCGACCCCGGCCGACGGGTAAACGTAGCCAGGTGACGGCCGGTCCTGGAGCACGTGCAGATCGCCACACGCTGTCCTCCAGGGGTAAAGGTGTCAACCCACTGATCCTGGATGACAGCGTTGCTCACCAGGTTCGTCGAGAACGAGGGGAGGTGGAAACCCGACAACGAGCCAGACGGAACCGCCGGACAAGGGAGCACAGTGGTGGACTGGGCAAGGACTGGGCCCCCAGAGGGGTCAGCCAAGGAGACTGGGACCGGTGCAGGAAGCGGTGTGAGCTCAGTACTGTCACGAAAGAAACAGCGGGAAGCACCTGAGTCAAGGGTGAAGGTGTGACAGGCCTCAGCCGGTGCGGTACCTGAGAGAGCAGTCTCTGTGGGTGCTGTACCTGAGAGAGCAGACTCGCAAACAGCCGGGACAGCACTGGAGGGAGCAAGTACAGGGGGCACCATACCAGAGAGAGCAGACTCACTAGTACCCAGGGCAGCGGGCTCTATACCTGGGTCAGGCGGCACACACAAGTAACAGTCTCCCTCGGCACTAACAGTCAATGCATACATGGCAGCAATAATAGCATCATAGTCAAGAGCAAAGATATCAACACCAGCCCTCATGAGCTCAGCCCAGCGGGGGCGCTCAACATCCTCGCCCATCTCCTCACGCCAAGCGTCGTCAAGGCGGGAGGTACGGGGTGTGGAACCTCCCACACGTCTGTCCCTTGCGGTCACCTGTGCGAATGACATAGGAACAGCGGCCACTGCCCCCCGACGTCCCACGCTGAGCAAGCCACTCACGAAGCTGTTGGGTCGTCTGGGGACGCTGCTGCTGCTGGGAGCTCTGGCCCGAGCCAGTGCCTCCACTCCGACCTCCGCCGCCACCACTACCACCGCTCCGACCGCCACCGCCACCGCCACCACCGCCACCACCGCCACCGCCGCCACCGCCGCCGCCGCCACTACTGCCACTGCTTCCTCCGCCGCCCCCGCCTCCACCGCCGACCCCACTCCCACCAGCGCTCCCGCCACCGCTCCCTCCAGCACCGCCTCCCCCCCCACCTCCCCCACCTCCTCCCCCCCCAGCGCCACCCCCGCCACCCTTGCCCCCCTTGCCCTTGCCGGTGCGGCGCCTCCCACCAGGAGCAGAAGCAGCGCCAGCAGACTCAGCACCAAGGAAGTCAACAGCAGCAGCAGTAGCGTAGGAGGGAGCGAGGGGAGAGGGAGAACACCCCTCAAAGATGGGGGTGCGAGGAGCGCCACGAGCAGCACCGACAGCTACAATGCTCTTTTCGGCCGCTAGCAGCTGCTCCTCTAGGAGGGCGACTGTGAGCTCAGTGGGACAGCGAGCAAGGAAGTGGTCTCGAACTGAGCTGAGGGTGTCAGGGAGACGGGTGACTATGAAGTGGAGTGTCCAGTACAGTGGAGGGGGATTCTTAGCGCAGAACTCGGTGGGAAGGGCGGCACGCAGGCGAGCATCACTAGTGCGAAGGTGAGTGATAAGATCGGCGACTGTAGCAAAGGTGGACAGCTCAGGGAACAGGTACGGCAGCATGAGGCGGCTAAGCTCGGCTGTGGCAGGCGAGGAGTAGCGAGCAACGACAGCATCGTACAGGGCCTTAGCGGATTTGCAGTCGCCAAAATGCTCGAGCTCAGCTAGCGGCAGGTGACTGCGAATGGCTAGGCGAGCAGCTGCGTCACGAGTCTGCCAGTGGGAACGAACACTAAGCTCAGCTGTGGCAGGAGGGGCAGGTGCAGCACCAGACGCGTAATCATAGAGCGACACATGCTCCTTGCTATCGCTCAGAAGGAACAGCTGCAGGTCATCCAGCCAAGTGGCGAACTTCACAGGGCGGCCCTCAGCATCGAACGACAGCACGCGGATGGAAGCCATAGCGACAGTGCGACTGAGCAAAGGAAGCTGCCGCAGCGCTGCAGGTAGGTAGCTCGGCGGGAAGCGCGGCGGGCGGGCGACGCGGCGAGCGGGCAGTGCGGGGGGCGGGCTGCGAAGCGGGCAGCGCGGTGCTGCAGGCGGGAAGTGCGGCGGGCGGGCTGCGAAGCGGGCAGCGGGGCGGGCGGGCGACGCGGCGAGCGGGCAGCGCGGCGGGCGGGCTGCGAAGCGGGCAGCGGGCGGGCGGGCGACGCTGCAAGCGGGCAGCGGGTGGGCGGACGACGCTGCAAGCGGGCAGCGAGGCGGGCGGGCGACGCTGCGAGCGGGCAGCGCGGCGGGCGGGCTGCGAAGCGGGCAGCGGGCGGGCGGGCGACGCTGCAAGCGGGCAGCGAGGCGGGCGGGCGACGCTGCGAGCGGGCAGCGCGGCGGGCGGGCGACGCTGCGAAGCGGGCAGCGGGCGGGCGGGCGACGCTGCGAGCGGGCAGCGCGGCGGGCGGGCTGCGAAACGGGCAGCGCGGTAGGCGGGCGACGCTGCGAGCGGGCGGCTCGGCGGGCGGGCGACGCTGCGAGGGGCGCGCGAGGGCGCTAACGAGAGGCGCACGAGGGCGCTAACAAGGGGGCGCGAGGGCGCTAGCGAGGGCGCGCGAGGGCGCTAACGAGAGGCGCGCGAGGGCGCTAACGAGGGCGCGCGAGGGCGCTAACGAGGGCGCGCGAGGGCGCTAACGAGGGCGCACGAGGGCGCTAACGAGGGCGCACGAGGGCGCTACGAGGCTAGGGCACGGGGTAGCGTGGTAACCGCATGCGAGCGGTGGTGGGCCCTTAAAAAAAAACGGTCGGTAGGTCCTAGGGACCTCCTGCTCTGAATACCATGTTAACAGAACTAGGCAAGAATGGTGCATTGAAAGAAACAGTTGGGTACAAGTAGCTAACCCTAGTTGGGTTTGTACCCTGTATTGGCTACCCCACTACAGCCTACCTACATATAAATAACACATTACAACTTAACATCTGAGGCCAACACTGCAGACATCTTCACCAAGGCGCTTCCGCCTTGTGACCACCACAGGTGTTGTGTGCAGTTAGGCCTTGTTGACACTGGTTTTCGGCTTACTTAGTCTTGAGTTCACCGTTTGCTTTGCTTGTACCCTTTCTATATATCTCTGTTATTGCTTGGACTGGCCTTGTGGCCATTGTTGCTTGTGCTCAGAGTTTGTGGTGACGTTGTGATCCACCCTGAGCTTTGTTTCTTTGTGACTGGTCTTATGACCGTACTCTTTTGGTTTTGCTAGACACCCCTCACTTAGGCTATGGGGGTGTGTCAAATGTTGGTAGCCTGTAGTGAGGTTTGTCTTAGGGGGTACGTATGTTAGGGTTTGCTACTTGTACCCCAACCACCATCAATGAAACACACGCTTGTGATTTTGACACTATAGCATTCTCCAGTTCAACAGCTTCATATGGTATGGAATAACAATGTAACCGCCTGGCACGACGTGATGGCACTGCCCTGAGGCAAATGGTTTCCTTAGGATTTGCTAGACAGGTGAGAGCACAGCAGAGCCCTGTTACCACACACTTCTTAAATTGCCAACAGGCACATGAGAATTCCCACCATCAATACTGCAGCGCGCAGCAGTCACCTAGACATGCACGGTCCCCAATTTCATGTCCTGTCTTGTTCTTCTTTTACACTCCATAGCAAAATGCTCCAGATTCAAACTACCTCCTATTCCTCTCCCCCTTTTCCTCTCTCTTTACCCAGCAATTAGATTCATCCCCCCCACATCTTCACCATCTCAAAGCTCAAATGAACCCTTGCCTCGTAGTCCCCAGGCCCCTCACCCTACCCCTTACCACCACTGGCTGCTGTCAAACCTCCTCTCTTGGCGTGGGTCCCATTTCAGAGTGTGTATCAAAAGCATCGGCTTGAAAAATATCCTCCAAATGCTGATACAGGCTCGCTAGTAGTGCGGGACTTGTCACCTTTCTACCCAAGGTCCTTCACCCGACGCCTCACCACCCTTCCTCCTCTCCCTTCAAACCTCCTCTCGTGGCGTGGGCCCCATTTCAGAGTGTGTATCAAAAGCATCAGCATCGAAAATATCCTCCAAATGCTGATGCAGGCACACCAGTGGTCCAGGAGGGGCGGGAAGGATGAGAAAGAACGTTGAGGAAAAAAGAGGGAAAAGTAAGAGCGAGGAGAGGGAGATACAGGGAGCTTGGTATGGACTAGTTAAAGCGAGGTTTTGGTGCGAGCACACATAGAACGGTGCCATTTGCTGCCCACTAAATACTGGCTTTTCAAGCTTCCATGTGTTAGTAACCCATGTGACATGGGCCATGTGCCTTAAGGTATGCGTCATGAGCCATAATCCACAAGCCATGATCCACATGCCAGTCTGGATTCTAAGAGATATTGTTGGAAAGATTGTTACGGGTAAGCCTCCTGCTACAGGCGCCCTGAAAAGAGACGGCTCACTCAGAGGAGGAGGAGGAGCGGACAGGGAACATGGCGACGCATTTCTGGGTTGCAGGAGATATTGCAGACTGGGTTCTTTGAGAAGTGTATGTGCTCACCTCAGAGGAGGAGGAGGAGCGGACGGGGAACATGGCGATGCAGTCGGGGTTCCAGGGGATGCCGCTGTGAGCCACCACGAGCGTCCACACGTACGGCACAAAGAACTCCTCCGGATGCATCTCCTCCTCGTATGTAAACTTGAGCTCTGTGAACATCTGATTGATGGGGCAGTCAGGATGGGGGAAAGAGAGGAGGGTCAAGGAAGGAGGCTTATTCCATTGGGAGCATCTCGTTTTGAGGCGCCTCAAAGCCTTATTCTATTGGGAGCATCTCTTTGTATGTGAACTTGAGCTCTGTGAACATCTGATTGATGGGGCGATTGGGACTGGGGAAGGACGCGGAAATCAGGCAGGATGGGGAAAGGTGAGGTAGGAGGAGAAGGGAAAGGGGGCCTCTTGAATGGATGCATCTCCTCCTCGTATGTGAACTTGAGCTCTGTGAACATCTGATTGATGGGTAATCAGCATGGGGGAGGAGAGTAGGGAAGAGAAGGGGGGGCTCCTTATATTGGATTGCCCATGATCACGGCTGGACCAACACATCATGCACCATGACCAAGGACCCACGACCCATGACCCACGACCCATGATCCATGATCCATGATCCATGACCCACGACCCATGATCCATGATCCATGATCCATGACCCACGATCCACGATCCAAGATCCATGATCCATGACCCACGACCCATGATCCATGATCCATGATCCATGATCCGTGACCCACGACCCATGATCCATGATCCATGATCCATGATCCATGACCCACGACCCATGATCCATGATCCATGACCCATGATCCACGACCCATGATCCATGATCCATGACCCATGACCCATGACCCATGACCCATGACCCATGACCCATGACCCATGACCCATGACTAATGACTCATGCACCAATCACCATGCGCCATGGTCCAGCGAAAGCCTCACCTGCATGCCCTCGCCCCGCCACGTGCGCGCGTTGGCAATGACCACGTCTAACACTCGCTCCACGGACCAGTCACCATCCACATCATGGTCGTCCATGCGCACGTTGAAAAAATCTATCACCTGCCGGGCAGAAAGGGAGAACGAGACAGGAAGGATGAGCGTCACGGTGAGAGTGTGAGCAGGTGGGCACCGAGACAGCTATGTGCGGTCGTCCGTCCACATCCTGGCCGTCCATGCGCACGGTGAAGAAGTCTATCACCTGCCACACAGAGAGGGAGAACGAGACAGGAAGGGTGGGAGAATGTGAGAAGAGTGTGCGTGTGAAGTCAATACCTGCAGCAATGGGAGAGTGGGAGGGAAGACGGGTGGGGAGACGAGGAGACAAGACAACGAATGAGCACTATTAAAAACAGTTTATGCAGGGACTCTTGGGACGCGCATAACCATGCCGAACTGGGCACTGCATTTTGCAGAACCATGGATTCAAAGTCAGCCGGCCCAGCTCACAATGTGAATATTCTCTGCCCAGCTAGCTCGCACCGTGAATATGTTTTGCAGCAGCTCGCAGAAGCGGGGGTGGTTGCGGAAAGGCACAAAGAGCTCCTGGCGGTGCAGCAATGCGTATACCACCTGCCATGGTGCATGTGTGAGCGCATATATGCATGTATGGGGGCGTGGACATGGATAGGACAAGGCTGCGGTTAGGGAGCTTACCAAAAAGGCGAAAAAGAAAAAGAAATGAACAAAAAAACATGAACAAAATGTGAGGAAACGGGAATGTACGGGCACAGGACATGCAGTACAGGTAGCAATGACTCCATGCCGAGCAAGCAGGACAGGCATGGATGACATGGAAGGAAGCAGCAATTGCATGCTCAGTTGCAGCGCTTCCATTTCTGTTCACCTCGGGGTTGCGTGGAAGGGCGTAGGTGAGAATGGCGTTGATGATTTCGAGCACTATGCGGAGGAAATCCGTGTAGATGTGCAGCTCTGTGGGCTGCTGGTGGGAGGAGATGGGGGAGAGAGAGAAAGCGCGGCGAGAGGGGGCATTAGAGAGGAAAGAGAGAGGGAGGTGACAATTGAGTCGATTCACGGATGATTTCAAGCACTATGCGGAGGAAATCTGTGTAGATGTGCAGCTCCGTGGGCTGCTGGTAGGTGGAGATGGGGGAGAGAGAGAAAGCGCGGCGAGAGGGGGCATTAGAGAGGAAAGAGAGAGGGAGGTGACAATTGAGTCGATTCACGGATGATTTCAAGCACTATGCGGAGGAAATCTGTGTAGATGTGCAGCTCCGTGGGCTGCTGGTAGGTGGAGATGGGGGAGAGAGAGAAAGCGCGGCGAGAGGGGGCATTAGAGAGGAAAGAGAGAGGGAGGTGACAATTGAGTCGATTCACGGATGATTTCAAGCACTATGCGGAGGAAATCTGTGTAGATGTGCAGCTCCGTGGGCTGCTGGTAGGTGGAGATGGGGGAGAGAGAGAAAGCGCGGCGAGAGGGGGCATTAGAGAGGAAAGAGTGAGGGAGGTGACTGTTCAGTCGATATCACGGATAATTTTGAGCACTATGCGGAGGAGATCCGTGTAGATGTGCAGCTCCGTGGGCTGCTGGTGGTGGGTGGGAGACGAGTAGGGATGGGAGAGGAGTAGAGAGGGAGAGGGCAGCAAGAGGGAAGAAAGAGTGAGAGGGAGGTGACTTGTGAGTCGGACAGAGAAATTCCGTGTAAATGTGCAGCTCTGTGGGCTGCTGCTGGTGGGTGGAGGCGGCGAGGGAGAGAGAGCGGGAGTGGCAGAGAGTGAGGGAGAAGGGGAGAGAGAGAAGAGGGACAGGAAGGCAGGGGGTAAAAGTGCAGAATTTAAACCATTTTGCACGCATATCCCATCCTGCATACAACAAACACGTGGTCTAACACACCCCATGCGGCATAGATATCCCATGCTGCATGCACTCTCCATGCTGCACACATACCCCATCACCAGCACCATCCCCATCCTGATCTGCTGATTGCCGCCCCTGTGCGTTGCCCTGCGAGTCTGTCTTGCTGGGCATGGGGTGTGCTGCTGCTGTTGACAGCTTAGTGTACCTGCAGTGGGGAGTGTGGGGGGAATGGGGTGATGGGAAGAGCGAAAATAGTCGAGTTGAAGGCTCACATGGATGCGAGCAGGTAGAAAGACAGTAAAAAAGGGAGTAGATAGGGTGAATACATGTGTGCCAGCGCAACAAAGAAAGAGAGAGATGCAAACAGGTGAAGAGAGATGAACGATGAAGAGAGATGCAAGGAGTTGAATAGAGATGCAAGGAGGTTAAGAGGAAGGGGCAAGGAGGTGAAGCGGAAGGCAAGAAGGTGGAGAGAGAGGAAGGGAGGGACCATACTTGCGAGCGAGCATGTGCAAGAGGTTGATGAGGCACCTCAAAAGGACGTGAAGTGAGGGGCAAGGAAGTGACGAAAGAAGCAAAGTTTCGAAGCAGGGCAAGGAGGGGCCGTACTTGCGAGCGAGCATGTGAAAGAGGCTGATGAGGCGCTGTGAGGCGTAGGCGTTGAGGTGGTGTGCATGGGGCGCCATATTGGCGAGTGTGGCCAGGCAGTTGGTGTGCAGGTAGATGTCCTGTTGGCATGGGTGCATGGGGGTGCATGGGGGTGCATGGGGGTGCATGGGGTTGCATGGGCCAGGGGCGTATGTATGGCGCGGGAGAGAGAGACAGCGGAGGGTTAAGGGATGCCATGTTGGCGAGCGTGGCCAGGCAGTTGGTGTGCAGGTAGATGTCCTGTGGGGGATGCATGTGCATGGGGTGCATGGGGGTGCATGGGCCAGGGGCGTATGTATGGCGCGGGAGAGAGAGACAGCGGAGGGGTAAGGGATGCCATTTTGGCGAGCGTGGCCAGGCAGTTGGTGTGCAGGTAGATGTCCTGTTGGCATGTGTGCATGCATGTGCAGGAAGACACAATGGAGGGGTAAGGAACGGAGGAGAGCGATCTAGGCTCATCTAGAGCGGGTGGCCAGGCAGTTGGTGTGCAGGTAGATGTCCTGTGGGCATGGGTGCATGCCTACGGAGGCAGAAACAGCGTAGGGTTAGTTAAAGTGGGGAAAGGATCTAGCTTCATCTAGAGCAAGGCCAGGCAGTTGGTGCGGAGGTAGATGTCCTGCGGGGGCGGTGTGGGTGTGTTGTGTGGGTTGTGTGTGCATGGGTCAGGGCAGAGGTGTGTGGTGGAAATAGGAGATCAGGGGTGAAGGGTGAGAGAAGGAATGAAAGGCACAGCGAGCGTGGCCAGGCAGTTGGTGCGTAGGTAAATGTCCTGCGAGTGGTGCCGGTGTTGTGCGTGGGACAGGCCAGGGCACGCACACGCGTGGGGAGGAAGAAGAGTCAAAGGGCAGTTTGAGCGGGGCCAGGCAGTTGGTGTGCAGGTAGATGGGCAGGGCAGGGCAGGGCAGGGCAGGGGCAGGGGCAGGGGCAGGGGCAGGGGCAGGGGCAGGGGCAGGGGCAGGGGCAGGGGCAGGGGCAGGGGCAGGGGCAGGGGCAGGGGCAGGGGCAGGGGCAGGGGCAGGGGCAGGGGCAGGGGCAGGGGCAGGGGCAGGGGCAGGGGCGGGGGCGGGGGCAGGGGCAGGGCAGGGCAGGGCAGGGCAGGGCAGAGCAGGGCAGGGCAGGGCAGGGGCAGGGCAGAGTCCAATCAAAAGTCACCATGATGCGGTGAAGTACTAACCCTGAGCTTGGAGAGGTTGTATTTGACGGTGCGGATGAGGATGATGACCATGAGCGAACCCAGGGAGACGCAAGAAGAAGGGTAGACAGACAGCAAGGAGGTGGGGAGGGAGATGTGTAGCGGAGGCGAAACATCGGATGCAGAGCAGCGCTGACACTGACCCTGAGCTTGGAGAGGTTGTATTTGACGGTGCGGATGAGGATGATGACCATGAGCGAACCCAGGGAGATGCGGGAGAGCAGGCGCTCCTGGTACCATGGCACGGAGGACAGGATCTGCGACATGTTACAGAATCCGGGAGTGGGATACACAGGGACGATAAGAATTTTGACGAGAGCAGCAAAGTGTCTTCCATGGTCGTGGCAGAAAGTGAGAGGTAAAGGGGAGACAGGGGGAGGAGGGGAAGGATGCGGGCGGGAATGGAATCGGTCGGAGACAGAGTAAATGCAGCACGTGCCAACAGCAGCAGCGGGTGCAGCAGCAGCAGCAGCAGCAGCAGCAGCAGCAGCAGAGGGTGCAGCAGCAGCAGAGGGTGCAGCAGCAGCAGCGGTGTGGGGGAACATACGAGCTTATGGACGTTGGCGTTGAATGAGGCGTCTTGCGAGAGGATGAGGAGGATGATGAGCAGCATGTACATCTGGTTGGACGTGCGGCGCGGTGCATTGTATAGCATCTCCAGAAGCGGCATGATCTGCTCGTGTGGCAGGGGGGCATGAATCACGGGGCACGGGGGAGCCGAAGGGAGTGCATGGGGAGTGGAGGGAAGGAGTGGAGGGAAAGTGGGGGAAAGTAGGGGAGTGGGGGGCAGTGGCGGAGAGTGGGAGGAAGCAGGAGGGGGTGTGGAGAAGGGCGGTTGAACAGGGGCTTGGGTGAGGGGATGAGGAGGATGATGAGCAGCATGTACATCTGGTTGGACGTGCGCCGGGGGGCGTTGTACAGCATCTCCAGTAGCGGCATGATCTGGCCAACGATGCATATAGGAGACGAGGCAAGGGGGAGCAGAGGCGAGGGGAGGGGAAGAGAAGGGAAGGTGGGGAGAAGAGTAGGGGAGTGGGGGGCAGTGGCGGAGAGTGGGAGGAAGCAGGAGGGGAAGTGGAGAAGGGGGGTTGAACAGGGACTGGGGTGATGGGAGGGGAGCATCTCCAGTAGCGGCATGATCTGGCCGCGTGGCAGGGGGGCAGAGGGAAGAAGGAAGGGGGAACAAGGGAGCAGAGGGGGAGCAGTGTTGTACAGCATCTCCAGTAGCGGCATGATCTGGTCACCCAGGATACCATGGGACATGGGACACGGGGGATTGGAAGGGGGCGGATGGGGAGAGCAGGGCAGTGGGGGGCAGTGGGGGAGAGTGGGAGGAAGCAGGAGGGGTTGGGGAAGAGGGGGGTTGTGCAGAGACAGGAAGTGATGGGATACGGCTATGTCTGTGTGGGCGAGGGGAAAGGTGAAATTGGGAAGTGCATGACCAATACAGCTTCACATTTGGGCTACAATCACCTCCTATCTCAGCACGTTACCTCCCCTCACCAAACCATCTCCTCCCACCAAACTACCTTCCCTGTGTTCACCTCACAACATATGCTCACCTCACTACCTGCCCTCACCGGACAACTTGTCCTCACCAGGGTGTCAAGATCTGATCGCACGAGGCAATAGTCCAGGAAGGCTGAGTTGCCATGGATGAGCGAGTACAGCAGCAGAGTCGCGCGGTCGTCAGTCAAACACCTGCAGCTCGCACTCACGCACACAAACACACACCCGGAACAGAAACAATCTCGTCAGTCAGACATCGTTCCTGTCCTTTCTGAACTCTGATTGGACAGAGTCGTGAGAAAGCTGATAATAAATATCAGCAGCGACAAGAGCAGAAAACACGGCACACAGCAGCAGCAATGATGGAACCAAGAGCACCCAAGGCAATAAAAAAAAGAGGGCCCGGCAGGATTGACGGTGGGGTTCGGAAGCCTCACAATCCCAGGGCATCATGCAGTGAGGCGAAAGCAATCCGAACCACATCTTCACTCCCCATGCCCACCAACCCCTGCACCTCCCCTCCCCTGCTGCTGCTGCTGCTGCTGCTGTTCCTGCTGCTGTCCTGCCTGCCCTGCTTGCTCTCCCTGCCCTTGGGCTTGCCCCTGCGCCAGTAACGGCTGCTGCTGTTGCTGCTCCTGTGCAAGAACTGCGTCATCGGTGCCATAGGAGTCTGCTCGGCCTGTACCACTAGCCGCAGCCATCACACCGGTCCTGCCAGAGCCTGTCAACGACCCTGTGCCGCTGCCACTACCACTACCCGCACCTGCACCTGCACCTGTGGCAGTGGCTGTGGATGTGGCTCTGGGAGAGGGAGCAGAGGCACCGGAAGGAGTGAGCGTGCCGTAAACTGCTGCTGATGTCTCTGTCTCTGCTGCACTCAAAATGGGCTCCACTGTCAAAAGAATGGAGCAAGAGAGAGCACGGGAAAGGGATAAGGAGCACAGGTGGGGATTGCAGGAGATTTTGTAGTCTGCTCGAAAATTGCTGCCGATATCTTGGTCTCAAACGGGCTGCATTGTCAAGGACGGAGCAAGAGAGCACCGGAGTAGGGTGGGGAGCACAGGTAGGGATGGCCGGAGATGTGTCGAGAGATGGGGAACGAGAGGTGGGGCAGAGGTAGTGGAGCCGTCTTGAATGGGCTTGACTGCTGACACGCAACAGCACTTGCAATCAGCTCTTCTCGTGTGAAAAAAAAAAAAACAAACAAACCAAAACAACAAACCACTGGTCCTTGTGTGAAAATATTCCAGCATCTGCAGTAGCGGCAAGATCCAGAAGAGCGAAACATTCACATACAGTCCACGTCTCGCGCGCTGTTGATCGCCCACTTGTATGGATTCCACCGCGCTTTCCTCCCTTGCTGCTGCTGCTGCTGCTGCTGCTGTTGCTCTTGTTGCTGGCTCTGCTGCTGACCCTGCTGCTGCTGTTGCTGCATCGTCCCTTGCCCGTCCTTCCCATCCATCCGTGCCTCTTGCAGGTTCAACCCATCCTGCAACCGTTGCTCCAACGCCTTAGCATCTCCCGCTAACCCTTGCACCTGAACCTGCACAACACCCGTCCCCACACCCCCCCCATTCCCCACCTGCCCCTGCCCGCCGCCTTCCCCTTGCCCCTGCCCTTCCCCCTGCCTCAACCCCCCCTCCTTCCCCCCGCCCGCCCCTGCTTATCCGCCTCCTCCCTCTGAATCTCCTCCCACGCCTCTCTGCTTCCCACCGACGGCCCATAATGTACCAGCGCGAGCAGCAGCAGCAGCGCGTTATCAGCTAGCGGGCTCTTGGCAACAGCAGAGGAGGAGAGGGAGGAGGAGGAGGAGCTGACGAGGAAGGAGTAGGTGTAGTAGGGGAGGAGGAAGACGGCTACTGCTGCAGAGCCCACGCGACGCAGGACGCCTTGACGCGTGGAGAGGGAAGCGACGTAGAAGGGCACACGGGGAGGGACGGGCATGCGCGCTACAAACATGTGCAGCAGCCGCGAGACGAATGGCACTGCCAGATCATGCTGGTGTGGGTGAGTCGGTATGGGTGGGGACTTGAGATTTTTGAGTCAATTCTAATAAAAACAAGTGCAGGGGGGGCGGGCATGCGTGCTAAAAACATGTGCGGCAGCCATGAGACGAATGGCACTGCCAGGTCATGCTGGCAGCCTCCACAAAGAGGTGAGCGTCGATGTTGAAGGCAAAAGCAGCAAAGAGGCGAAGCGTGCAGCTGTACGCCTGCGACACACAACCACAACTGCCGCCCCCTTCCCCGTGCACAAGCCCCCCTTTTGTTTTCCTCACACCCCTTCCCGCCACGTGCCTGGTTCATGGCAGCCTCGACAAAGAGGTGAGCGTCCGTGTTGAAGGCAACAGCAGGCAAGGTGAAAGGAGCAGCCATACACCCGCGACACATAACCACAATTGCAATTCCCTTCCCCGAGCACAAGCCCCCCCATTTTCCCCACACCCTTCCCTCCATCCCCACACACCCCTTCCCGCCACGTGCCTGGTTCATGGCAGCCTCGACAAAGAGGTGAGCGTCCGTGTTGAACGCGACAGCAGGCGAGGCGTGCAGCTGAGTGGACATCATCACAATGAGCAGATTCACCGCCTCCAGATGCAGCAAGTACTTGGTGGCGCTGGAAGGGTGGAGGAGGGGGGAGGATTGCGTGGGTAGGGGAGGACGAACAGGGGAAAATGTTGGGGCGCTTGAGAAGCAGATTCACCGCCTCCAGATGTAGCAAGTACTTGGTGGCGCTGGTGGTGGTGTGGGGGAGCGGGAGAGGAGTGGGGGGAACGGGGAGTGGGGAATGAGAGTCGAGGCGCCTCAAAAGGGAGAGCAGGCGAGGCGTGCAGCTGTGTGGACATCATCACAATGAGCAGATTCACCGCCTCCAGATGCAGCAGGTACTTGGTGGCGCTGGTGGTGGTGTGGGAAACCGGAATATGAGTGGGAGATGGGGGAGTGGGGAAAGAGATTTGAGGCGCCTCAAAAGGGAGAGCAGGCGAGGCGTGTAGCCACGTGGACATCATGACGATGAGCAGATTCACTGCTTCCAGATGCAGCAGGTACTTGGTGGCGCTGATGGGGGAACGGGAGAACGGACGGGGAAAATTCCAGAGGCGCCTCAAAACTAGATTCACCTTCTCTTCAGATGCGGCAGGTACTTGGTGGGGGTGCGGGTTTTGGGGTGGGGAAGGGTTTGAGTTGAGGGGGGTTGGGGACGAGGCTTTTGGAGTAGACTGACAGGGGTACATAGATGAGTAAGCTTGAAAACTGGAAACGTTGGCAGTTGGTGGTGAATGGCTCACCTGACGTCATGATGTGCAACGAAGGATAGGAGGGACCTCACGGTATCCACTAGCAGGTCATGGCGCCCTGTTAGCACACACACACACATGCACACACACAGACACACAGACGCACGCATCCAGAAACACAACAGACACAGACACAGAGCCACACCCACACCACCTCCCTTTCGGCCCCCCCTCCCGGGCTCCCCTCACACACACACATGCACATTTAGGCCCCCACACCACCTCTCCCTTGCAACATACAGGCCCCCCATTCCCACTCATTCAAACCATAGCACAAGCACAAGGATAGGAAGCAGAATAAGAAACTGACTGAACCATCCCATGCGTTGTTTCCTTCAAGTAGCCCTAGCAGCGCTCATCCCGCTTCCATCCTTGCACATTCTCTCCCTAGATCCCTACCTCGCCTCGCCTCCTCTTTCCAACACTCGTACCTTATTGCTCCTCACTTTCCATCTACCTCCCTCCCGCCAATCTCCTCTGGGCACGCACATGCCCATATCTTCTTTCCCTCAATTCCCTCACTTCCCTCTCTTTCCTCAATTCCCTCATTCCCCTCACGTCCCCAACACCAACCTTCCCAGCAAACTCGCCAACCACTACCCGTTTCCCCTAAAACTTACTGTTCCATTTCCCTCCCCTCCCCTCTTCCCCTGCCGCCCCTTTTCTTTCCCTCCCCCCTTTCCCCTTCCACTTCCACCGTCACAGGTCCCCCGCCCCCCGCCTTCTTCCCCCATTTCCCCCTCCCCGCACCTGCGTCTCGGCCGAAAGCGCGCGCCTCCTCGGGCGAGAGGTGGATAACAAGATGCTCCCAGATCTCGCGGCTATCGTAATACTCCACCAGGTGCTTCACGAAGAGGCGCGTGAAGTAGACCGTGTTGATGGCCGTGAGAGGCATCTCCGCGGGGCTCGCGGGCACCTGCTGCAGGCTGCGGATCATGTGCAGCAGCAGCTTGCCGAAATGGTACGTCTGCCGGTTGTTCAGCGCTGGACGGAGCGCGGGAAGGTGGGCGGGAGCGGGAGGCAAGAATGCGGAGGGGAATGGGGACGGGGAAAGGGGGGAAAGAGGGGAAGCGGTGGGGTTGGAATTGGAAAGAGGTTAGCGGGAGAGGGAGGTTGGTCGGGGAGAAAGTTTCGAGTGAAAAGAGTTGCCAGAAAAGTATGAGGAAAGGGTGAGGGGTTGGGGGTGCGGGTGGAGAGGGGTGAATGGGAAGGGGTGAGACGAAAGCAAGGAGAGAGGAAATGGGGAGGAAGGGGAGGGTATCAGCAGAAGCGGTCGGCATAGATTCACACCACAAAGAGCGCTCAGGTTGAAAGTTCTACTGGAAATCACACCGTGCTCGCCGACCCTAACACAGTCACTGACGCTCACCTAGCGTGGTGCATGCTTCTCTCGTCGCCTCGTCGAAGTCCGCGGGTTTCATCTTGGGCAGCGGGTACGCGAACGACAGCAGCTTCTCCCAGAACGGGTCGTTCGCGGGAATGGATGTGGGGCCCACAAAGCGATCCAGAAGTTCTTCGTGCCCCCCCAATACCGGCACAGACTCCGCCGCCCCCATTGTGTCAATAACGAGGATGGATGAATCCTCAGGCTGGTTGCCTAGACCCAACCTACCGCTCGTCCTTCAACTACAGTAAAAGTTACAGGTATAATCGTTTCTTGTGACGCCGGCTCAAACTGCTTGTGTCGATGCACCGTCAGGGTATAGGAGCGCTGGGTTAGGTGGCTCTAGGAAGGCTAAACTAGCTGGCAGAACAGGGAAAAAGCAGAGCTTTAATGTCATCCAAAATGTATGTGCGGAGAGTAGGAGTTGATCAACGGTGCGTGTGCCTCAGATCCGCAATCTGACGGCGCACCTCAGCCTTTCTTCGGCCCGCTGTGGGTAGATGGCACTTTCAGGTGTCGCATCGACGAATTATGTCGTACGCCTTGGCTAATCACGAAGGAATCTGCAGCATGCTGGTAACTAGATCGAATCCTAAGAGGACCGGCGAAGACGGAATATCGGCTCAGTTAACGAAATTTGGAACTGCTATAACGCCATGGAGTGAACGACAGCCCTACGCTCCACAGGTAGTGAGCGAAGATCTAACATAAGAGGAATTGCATATGAACCGACGAGTCATGTGAAACTTTCTGCTTCGTACTAGCGACGAATCGCTGGAAAAGCCCGGCAACTCATAAACACATCCGTTGGCTCTATTTCGACAATTCGGAGCCCAAGAACAAGGAGCAAGGAAATCGGTAACCTGACGGCAGATTCCATGGCTGCATCAGAGGCATGAGCATGGTCAGATGCTGCTATCCTTGGGAACTCATCGGTCCTAAACAGAAATCAGACCCACTGTCAAATCTCCCATCTCTACAACATACGCGCGAACTCCGTTCTGTCTGTATGGACCCGTCTCCGTCTGATTTCTCGTCAAAACCTCATCAGGAATGGGATTTTGACCTGACTTGCAACCGAGGAGCCAGTGTCATGAATTGTTCCACCTTCAGGTCAAGTACGGTACATTTCCTTGTTGCACAATCAAACTTGAAATAAAATTGTGAGATTGGGGTCAAGGTGATGGCAAACGCCAGGTAGTCAGAAAAAGCTTATCCACCAAAATGCATGGATATAGAAAAGATGGCTACAATTCAGCACATACCAGTACAGCATCCTGCGGAGCCTAAAGCACTAGTGTAACAGGGACCCCTTGAGCAAGAAAGGTATTTAATAGGGTAAAACATCAAATTCTGCTGTCCTTCAATGTCTGGGCTACTGTCCACTGAAAGCTCGCATGTGTACATATCACTAGGCTGATTTTGCACTGGGCGCAGCTGGCAAGAGCTGGAAAGTGGTAGGAAGGGTAAAATGATAAGCATGGGAGAGTGAGAGAAGATGGTGCAACAGGTGTATGATTGGAACAACGCAAAGGGAGATATGGAAGGGAGAGGGTGGGAAAAATGGAAACGGAGGTTACGAGGCTAAGTGAGATACTTAGTGAAAGCAACGAATAAAATTGCAGACGAACCACCACTACATACCTGGTAACAAGAGATTAACGAAGTAAAAAAGCCCAGTGCTCCCGTGACTCTGGGTGTGACTGTCTTTGGTGCAAGCTGGAGCAGGCCAATCGCAACAATAATGTCGGTAGTTGACTTCACAAAGTTCAGTTGTCGCTGTCGTGCCTTCGCTAAAGCAGCTAGCAATTGGTCTTTCTGCAAGCACCCAACAATGAAGCGTTAGCAGGGCTCCTCAACATGCTACCAGCGAGAGACAGCATAAACATGGCCTTTTAGCACGGCTCCTCGACATTCGACAAGCCAGAGACAGCATAAACGTGACCTACCAGCTTGGCTTGCTCAGTTGCGTTCTTCTTCTCCTTAGCGCGACGAATTTCCTTGCTAAGCTTCGCACAAGTGATGGAAAGCCGATATAGCTCACAGACCTGAAGCCCGATATTGAAAGAAGTCAGGCGATAGCGAAACGCGGAACGAGCCGTACGCATTCCGCAAAATTGCTCACCTCAATGATGGAGCCAACACCGCAGCTAGACATCCAACAGTGAAGGGAAAGCTTGGCAATCAGATCACTTCGTTCCTTGTTCTGCAAAGCGAAAAACGCTGCTTAAGTTGCATGTCTCTGAAGGCTGTAGAGCTAACTAGCAGCATAAGCACTGTTCACGCACCTGATAAATGCCAGACCGACCCAGCCACACGACTTGATCCAAGCCGAGGAAAGTAGCCAGCAAAGCACTCTTAATCTGCAGAACAATGAAATATTATCATTGTAGTCAATTCGCGCACAAAATTCAGCACCAACCGAAAGTACAACCTCATGTAACCTACCCTTCCGAGAAGCACCAAGAATAGAGGCGTTGTCTTGGGAGCAGGACTAAGGAGATTCTGGATCTCATTGACGGACTGCAAGCCATAAACAATGGAATGCGATTTAGATGCCGTTTACAGGTAAAGATCGAAATACGAAACAGCTGGGGCAGAGAGACCAACCTTCAAAAGCCTGAAAACTTTTCTCGCTAAACTGGTGTTTTTGTCCACAGTGGCTGCAACGCCAGGTTCACCACCGCTGATAAACTTGGAACCATACTGGATAGCCCTGCAAATCTTGTCACGCGTTTCCGCTTTGTTCAAGTACAATGCGAGCAGTGCCACATGAACTCTTGCATCCTCGATAGATGAAACCATGGTCAGAGCCCTTTACTCGGAACAAAACAATTCACAGGAAAGCCTGATAATAGGCACTGGTACGGGTAGTCGAGCAGGGCTAAGAGGCACGTATCAAAATTTAAGGAAAATCAACCCAGCAAAACGCGTGCAACTAAAGATGAGAAGCCCAGGAAAGGAGGGGTCAGGGGGGGACAGAGGGGAGCAGCAAGGAGACTAGGGAGGACGGGAGGGGATGACTGGGCGAATGTGGTGCGTCACAAACTACGTATGTGGGCCAACTGACTGGGAGTCTGGGCCAAGTGACGTGGGGAGGTGGTCCCTGATTCCGAACACATGACACGTGGAACAGCAAAGCACTTACGACATGAAACGAAACTGCTGGGCTTGGGGCACATCCCTTAAGAACATTTTCAAAAAGTGTAGAGCTGAAGTATACAGACCATACCTGAAAACAATATGCTTAACATTCAATTTGATAATGATATCTTGTAAGTAGTCATTTTGGCACAATTTTGCAACGTCGGAAGACATAGTTAGGACTGATAAAAAGGTTGTATATCTGTAATAATTCCTCAATAAGGGCCAGAAAATAATAAACTAATACATTATGCCATATGTAGTTAAAACTGAATAATTTATGGGGGTTGTATATTTTATAACTCGCATCAAATAGGTTCATAGCACCGGGATAGTGCCATAGTACATATCCTACCAACAATGTTTATAGTCATAAGAGTGCATTACTAGCGTTGACTAGATCTTGTAGGCGTTCTATATAAAACTGCATTATCTTGACAAATTCAGTCCTACAGTCGAGGAACGGGAGCGTCACCCATTGCCTGCCACGGCGGATGCACCACCACGTCAGCTCCTGAAAACCAATGATGACTCGAGGAGCTCGATTGTACCTTTGGAATTCCTCCCCTTCACCTCCTCCATTCTCGAGTGTTTCTTTCCGCTTACGACCACGTCGTCCACACCATCTTCCCCACTGACGTCTCCGCTCCCCCATTCCCCCCTCCTCCAACCCCGACCCCCAACCCCGCTTCCCCATCCCGTCCCGACCCGCCGTTCGCAGTGTTAGTCCCGTCATCATTCTGTCCCCGACTCTCCTTCGATTCACCATTGGGGAATCGTTTAGCTTCATTGCTATCCACAGTCCACACTTCCACCATGGCTTCCCTTCTCGCCACTCCTGTGCGCTGCCTCGCCGCTGGATTTGCTTCAAATGCGGAGTCTTCAGACGCGTCTTCGTACGCGGTGCGATCCTCATCCTCGTCATCTGCGCGCCTTGCCTCTCTCCGCGGCACGGGATTCGATCCCCTCCGCCACGTCCGCGCGTCGAAGTTCAGCCGCCGTGCATCCGTCGCGATTCGTCGCGTCTCGGCATCTGCCGACGACTCTGCATCAGAAGTATCGTCAGCAACTGAGGAAAAGCCTTCCGTTACAAGCCCATTCGCGGGAAAGAAGATTTCCGCCTTGCTAGCAGCCCGCGCCGCAGCTGCTTCTAAGGCGGCAACCAGCAGCGCATCGGCCTCTTCCGCTGCTGAAGCACCAGCATCGCCACCCGCAGCAACCGATAGCGCACTTCCCCCTCCCCCTCCCCCCACAACGGCTTTCCCCTCGTCGTTCGCCAAAAGCCTCCCCACTTCTACCCCTGCCTCTCCGTTCGCATCCCCCGCTGCCTCCGCTTCCCCTGCTCCTCCCCGCGCTAGCCCCGCTCCTGCTCCCGCACCCGCGGATCGCTCGTCCGTGAATGCCGTTGTTGGAGGGTCAGTCACGCCGAAAGTTTCCTTCCGCGGAAAGGCGATCGTTGATGCTTTCAAGCAAGGCAGCGTCAGCAGCGCGAAAGGCGGCGCCGGCAAAGGCGCGGCCGGCGCGGCAGCGTCGTCATCAGCCTCGACATCCGCGGACGGCAGAGTGCGCGTGGGGTCTCCGCGCGCTCCGGCGAACATTTTCAACGAGGTGGCGCGGACGCCGGAGGAGATCGAGGCGGAGAAATGGCGGTTTCAGGTGAGCCGCGAGCAAGTGCTGCTGGCGCTCTCGTTCTTCGCGTCGTCGATCATCATGCTCGGAACGGTGTTCGTCGTGTGGAAACTGGGCGCCATTCACTTCAACGAGTACTGAGAACGGAAAACGAATCGAAGGGGCTTGAGTAGGATATAGAGAAGAAAACAAATGTGGAACCTTAGCAAGGGGGGTTGGGAACGTTTGGGACGGGGGGATGGTGGGGTGGGAGAGGGATGGACGAGCAAGGCTTTGAGAAGAGGCTGATGGGGATAGAGGAAAGAGTGGTCAATAATTGCAGCTCCTCTATCTGCAGCAGCAGCAGCAGCAGCAGCAGGAGCAGGAGCAGGAGCAGCAGCAGCATAGTCTTACCTCCAAACCAACGCTACACTACTGTCTCAGCAGTGAGTTGAGTGTTTGTAACAACTGGGACGGTAGACAGGGCGTGCTCCCAAAGTGAGGGTCGGCTGGACGGCAGTTGAAGCAGCTGTGCTCAGTGTTTGGTGGCCGAGGGTGTGTGCTGTTGGGTGCAGAGTGCTGATGCGGTACTGTGGTTCGGAGGGACGTGATTGACGGAGAGAGTGGATTTAGGGAGGCTGGAGGATACCGTATCTGTGAAAGGAGGCATGGGGAGTTGAGGGGGACAAGGAAAAGAGTTTTGTGATTTCTGTTCTGGAGGTGGGACTTAAGGTGGGAGAGGGGCTGGGGAAGGTGGGGAGGTGAGGTGCATGAGAGATGCAAGATTAGCGTAGATTTCTGTATCCCTGTTTATCCCTGTAGTTACCTGCACTTTTGCTGTTTTTGTATGGTTGTTTTCTTGTGCACCCCTATCTTTCACAAGCTGTACCCTTATGTCAGTTTTGTGCATGCTTAGTGCTAAATTGCTCATGTACTCTACATACTAGGTGACTTCAATTGTGGATGGAGGGTCAGTGTTTGCAAAAGCTGTTACTGTACAATCGGATGATGTCAACCATTGTTACATGGTAGATGCTGCACTAACAAGGGCTTGTCAGAATGAAGAATGGATGATGCATTGATGTTGGTTGGGGTACATATAGCTAACCCTAAGTTTTGTACCCCCTAAGACAAACCTCACTATAGGCTACAACATTTGACACACCCCCATAGCCTAAGTGAGGGGTGTCTAGCAGAACCAAACGAGTACGGTCACAAGACCAGTCCAAGAAACAAAGCTCAGGGTGGATCACAACGTCACCACACAGTCTGAGCACAAACAACAGTGGCCACAAGGCCAGTCCAAGCAATAACAGAGATATATAGAAAGCAAAGTAAACAGTACACTCAAGTCTAAGCAACACGAGAACCAGTGTCAACAAGGCCTAACTGCACACAGCACCTCTGGTGGTCACAAGGCGGAAGCGCCTTGGTGAAGATGTCTGCAGTGTTGGCCTCTGACTCCACAAACTCAAAGCGAGCCTGTCCACGCCTCTGCAACTCTCGCAGAAGAAAGTACCTGACGTGAATGTGCTTCACTCTGCTCTCCAGTCGTGGCTCTCGACAAAGGAGAATAGACGCCTTGTTGTCAGTGAACAAGGTCGGTGCAGAGCTCGGCCGCTCACCAAGGTCGGTGAGCAAGAAGGTCAACCAACGCAGCTCCTGTGCCGCCATGGCACCAGCGTAGATCTCAGCCTCAGCTGTAGAGGTCGAGACCGAAGAGGAGCGCGTGGACCGCCAGGAAACAGCTCCAGAACCCAGGCTGAAACAGTATCCCTGAGTAGACCTGTGTCAAATGTTGTAGCCTATAGTGAGGTTTGTCTTAGGGGGTACAAAACTTAGGGTTAGCTATATGTACCCCAACCAACATCAATGCATCATCCATTCCTCATTCTGACATGGTATCAGTTAGGTTAGGATCCTGTGGGATCCCGTTCCTCCGTTCTCCGTTCGTATCTCCCGAGCCTGATCCTACCTCTCGTTCGTACCGGTTCCGTTGTTACCGCGCCTAGTGCCGAGCCTAGCGCCCTTCCCCCCGTCGCCTAGCGCCCTTTCCCCCCCCGTCACGTCGCGCCCTTTCCCCCCGTTGCGTCGCGCCCGTTCCCCCCCGTCGAGTCGCGCCCTTTCCCCCCGTCGCGTCGCGCTCTTTCCCCCCGTCGCGTCGCGCCCTTTCCCACCGTCGCGTCGCGCCCTTTCCCCCCGTCACGTCGCCCTGCCCCGTCCCGTCGCCCTGCCCCGTCCCGTCGCCCTGCCCCGTCCCGTCCCGTCGCCCCGTCCCGTCCCGTCGCCCCTGCCCCGTCCCGTCCCCGTCCCGTCCCGTCGCCCCTGCCCCGTCCCGTCCCCGTCCCCGTCCCGTCCCGTCGCCCTGCCCCGTCCCGTCCCGTCGCCCCGTCCCGTCCCGTCGCCCCTGCCCCGTCCCGTCCCCGTCCCGTCCTGTCGCCCCTGCCCCGTCCCGTCCCCGTCCCGTCCCGTCGCCCTGCCCCTGCCCCGTCCCGTCGCCCCGTCCCGTCGCCCTGCCCCGTCGCGTCGCCCTTCCCCGTCCCGTCGCCCTGCCCTGTCGCGTCGCCCTTCTCCGTCCCGTCGCCCTCCCCCGTCGCGTCGCCCTCCCCCGTCGCGTCGCCCTGCCCCGTCGCATCGTGCCCGCCCTTTCCCCCGTCCCGTCGACCCTACGCCCTGGCCCGTCGCTCTAGCCCGCTCTTCCGCTGCGACTAAGTCCCACCTGCACCCTAATTTGCCTCTTACCTCCTGCTGTTACTCGCCTGCTCGTTCGCGTTAGTTTTCGCTATGGCGACTCCGCGAGTTCTTCGTTTCGACGCTGACGGTAGACCTCTTGACTTTTCCGTCTGGCTTCTTCGTGCTCGCCGTCTGTTAGAGAGTCAAGTCCAGGGGGGCGAGACCCTCTGGTCGCACGCTACTGGTGACCTCCCCGAGCCCCCCGAGCCTGCCGCTTTAGGTCCTGCCCCTGACGATGCTGCTACGGCTCGCTTTGCCCGTCAGCGCGCTGACAGGACGGCTTGGACGTCACGTGACGCTGCGGCCTGCATCGCACTCAGCAGCCTCCTCCCTGAGTCAGAGGAGGTCCACTTCACTCAGGTTCGCACCGCTGCTGCGTACCTCACTGCGATTAAGGCCCGCTACTCTACTCCCGCTACTGTCTCTCTTGGCCGTCTTTTCCTCCCGTTCCTGTTTCCTGATCTCGCCTCGTTTGAGCGCTCTGCTGACTTGATCGCTCACCTCCGCTCGCTCGACGCTAGTTACCGCGCTGCTTGCACTGAGGCACAGCTTGCACTGCTTCCTCCCCCCATGGCGATTACTATCTATTTCATCGCCACTAGCCTCCCTGACCGCCTTGCCTCCGTACGTGACGCGCTCCTGCTGAAGCACCCTAGTGAGCTGACAGTTGAGGTCCTTGAGTCTGCGCTCAAGGACGTCGAGAGCAACCTTCGCTCGGTAGCTGCCGCCTCTGGTGCTGTGCCCCCCCCACTCTTCCACGGGTGCACAGTCCCGCAGTTACCCACCTTCACTGCCTCTCTTGCCACTGCCGCTACTGACGCGACTGCAGCTGCTGCTACGACTGCGTCGCGGTCCCGCGGCAAGGGGGGCAAGAAAGGTGGTTCTGGTGGAGGTGGAGGCGGAGGTAGCGGAGGTAGTGGGGGTGCTGTTGCGACTGGCGGTGGTGGGAGTGCAGCGTCTGGAGAGACCTCTCGTGCAGCGGCTGGTGACTCCACTGCGCCTGCTGGTGGTGGCGACGCCCGAGCTCGTCAGTCGTCTCCTGTACTGCCGGCCCCGCTAGGTGGAGCAGCGGCGTGGTACCAGGCTCAGCGTCAGCAGCGGCTTCAGCAGCAGCAGCAGCCCCTCTCCTCCCAGCAGCCTCAGCAGCAGCAGCGTCAGCAGCTGGCTCCGGGGTCGGGGCTGCGTCAGCCCCAGCGTGGTGCTGCTTACCCTCCCTGCACCTATCAGGTTCTGACAGGTCCTCGTCGGGGCCACCCTTGTGGCCGCTTTCACCCCCCTGGTCAGTGCTTTGCTCAGCTCACTGACACGGTCCGGTTGGCCTACGGGGTTGGCGGTCCTGCCCTTGACTGGCTTCCTCTGGTTCAGCGCTACGGCTCCGCTCTGTGGGGCATGTCTGCTGAGCAGTTAGTTGATCTGATTGGTGCTCCTCATGCTATGTATGCTGTTGTTGACTCTAGTGTTTCTGACTCTGCTTACTCTGGTGTTGTTAGCTTAGGTGCTAGCCTTGCTCAGTTGCCTGTTGCTAGTGTAGGTTCTTGTGTAGACTCTAGTCCAGCGGCTACCTCAGAGGACGGTTCGCTGTCGTTCACGCTGGACTCTGGAGCCTCTCACTGCTTCTTTCGTGACAGCACGACACTTACGCCACTTCCTGCGCCTGTTTCTGTGGCGCTGGCTGATCCCACTTCGGGACCAGTCACCGCGCGTCACACTACCACCTTGCCGTGTCCGGCTGCTCCTTCTGGGTCTCTCACTGGGTTTCACGTCCCCTCGTTCTCCCGGAACTTGGTGGGCGTGCGACCCCTTGTGAGTCAGCACGTGGGTGTGTGGTTTGAGCCTTCTGGAGAGACTGCGGTGTGTGTTGACGGGGACTCTTACCAGCCCCTCGCCACTTTTGCTGCTGAGCCGGGCTCCGGTCTCTACACTCTTCACACTGGCCCGCGCGCTCAGCAGCGACTGCAGCAGCAGCAGCAGCCGCAGCAGCAGCAGCAGCAGCAGCCGCAGCAGCGGCAGCAGCAGCAGCCGCAGCCACAGCGGCCGCCGTCGCAGCAGCCACTCCTCCCAGTTCCTGTCCCTCCCCCTAGTCTCCTCCCTGCGTCTCACCAGGTGGTTCCGTCCTCTCAGGTTGTCGCGTCCAGTCCAGTCGCTGCGTCTTGCTCCTGTCGGTCGCTTGCCCACCCCACCGTTCTGTGGCACCACCGGCTGGGACACCCTTCTCTTCCACGTCTGCGTGCTATGTCTAGTCAGCGTCTGGTCTTAG